AGGGCCTGGTCCGGCACTTACCTGGTGCATTGGAGCTTCTCTGCAGGAAATCGCAATAGTGACTTCTCAACAGTGGCCTGCTTGAAGGCCAGTCACAATGACTGACTGTGCAGCTCACAACTTAGTGATTTGCAGCTAAAAAAATTACTTATTTATAAATAATAGTTTTTCTTGAAAAAGCGATTTTTATCCTGATTCCGCCAACAAAATTGAACTGCAAACTATAGACTATTAAAGTCACTGAAGAAATCTTAAGTCATATACGTAGCAACTACTGCTCACTCTAACAAGCATTATAGCAAACGGTGTTGAAAACAAGAAATACTTCTTTGGGAATGTTTGGAAGACAGCACAGTTTAGTTTAAGTTAGTGCTTCCCAGAGTACTTTAAAAAAAAAACAAAACCAAAAATACCTTCTTTTAACAACCTCTCCACATTTCAAATACCATAATCACTCAAATAATTCACAGTAACCACTTGGCACCCAGACCCAGAGCCATTTCCAGCAAACCATGACAATGGCAGTTCCGACTAAGACTATCAGCAGTGATTTTGTTTTCTTTGCACTTATAAGTAATTCACATCTTTATACTATTAGTCAAAATGTAGCAGCTTAATTCTCTCATTATTTTTAATCTAAATGGAAAATCAATTGTCTCTGGTTGTTGGTGGGTATATTTTTTGAAGGCCCAACAATAAGAAACTGGGAATAGGAGAGTAGCTCCACTAGTGTTCTTTCATTAATTTAACAACTTTCTTCATTAATTCAACTAACCGACAGTTAACATCTACCATACATAAAGGATACAGAAAGTAGTAACAAGCAATGAGGTCTCTTGAGAAGTTTACACTCTAGCAGTAGGTTTAGCGAAATTACTTGCTTTGACTTTGAAAGAAAGACAACACAGAGTTCCTCAGATCCTAATCATGTGCTACAGACTGGGCATAGAATGCCAAAAGTTAACCCAGTCATCAATGATATCCATCTAACATCCTCTTCCTCCTCACTGTCACGCTCCCCACCCTCCAGGATTTCTTCCTTCAGTAAGAAAGTACAGGTTGCTCAACATCTGACACTAGCCATAAACCACAGAATATGGTCCATCAGCAGGTTTTAATGTAAAGTCGTTGTGTGGTGGCAAATCTTTTAAGTTCAACTAGACAAAGTTATTGTATCTCTGGGTAACATTCAATCCAAGGGCAGATAATGAGCAGAAGTCTGCTGGGAGTCTGAAAAACCACTCACCCGATGTCTGAGGCCTGCCCAGCTTAGCCCCCTACTGCAGAGGCAATGAATCCATCCAAACGTTTTCAAACCCTGTGTTGAATTGTTGAATACAGTTGTTTTTTGTTTAAAGCACCAGACCATTTGGCTACGATCTATGGCCCACCATAAACACCAGTTGGTGTGGTCAAAGAGCATCCATGGTGAGCAAAATAGAGGTGAATGAGGGAGCAGACCTGCAGAACAACACTTCTGGGGGAGTGGGGGGCAAAAAATCAAGGACAGGGAGATTTCCCCAGGATTAATGAGGGGGGATGTGGAAGGCAAAGTCACTACTGTTATAGTAAAATTGTAATCTATTCAGGGACGAAACAGAGCTCTTAACTCTTCCCCCAAATAGAACGTTTAATGTGCCCAGGAATACACTGAATTTTCAGTTCTATCTTGACCTGTGCTGTGATTCAATGAGGTCAAGTTATTGGCTTCCCAATCCATGCTCCCAAGGCATTCATGAACCAGACCCTACATGTGGCTAACTCAGGAATCACAGAATCATAAAAAGTTGACAGAAACCTTTGAAGATCAATAAAGACTGGTCCATCAGCCTGAAAAATCAACACTGAGGTTCTACTCCACCCGAAGACTCCTGAGCGTGCCCAGGCATCCAGGCAGTCTAGAGGAGTGAAAAGGACAAGAGCAAGGGCTCTAAAGCCAGGCTCTGTGGCTTCAAATCCTGGCTGCACATTTAACAGTAATGGCAATCTCTCTGTAACTCAATTTTCTCATCTGTAACTGGAAGATAATAATAGCACCTATCTCATAGGACTAATGGGAGAATAAAATGAGATCACAGTTAAAAAGTTAGCACAGTGTCTGTCACACAATAAACAGAGTAAATACATGCTAGTACATCTACTGTTTTCAGGGGTAACCTAAACTACCATTCAGTTCCTAAATTAGAATGACAACACTACAACTGCTACTATTTGGCTGGGCCCTGATTATGGGCCCCCAAACATCCCTATGAGGTACACGATATCTTCATTTTAGAGTTGAAAAATGGAGGTTTACAGGAATTCATAATTCACCTACGCTTACTCAATTAATAAGTGGTGGAGCAATAAAAGCTTTGATCACATCCCAGCAAAGTCTGCATTGTCATCTACCTCCAAAACTTAAGAGTATTTGAAAATACTTCAGTATTCTAAAATCACTACTGATTGAATGAAATTATATTCTTGTAAAATCTCCCAGCCTTTCCCCACTAAATCTACATAATTATACAATCAGAAATACCTCCCAAATTCTGACAGACTATCAAAAACACAAGATTCTCTTTATTAACATAAATATGACTGGATAAATCATCATGATCATTTTAATTAAATGGCTTTAAAAGTTAAAAAGTACTGCAGACCCACAGTATATCAAGCCACTTTTCTTTCAGAATTTGTAATTTGATCCTGTAGAAGCATGGGCACACTCCAATTGGTCTGTGTAACATCTCTCTTTCCATATGTTTGGTAAGTGTATAACAAAATCAACTAGAGTTAACAGTTACTCCAAATACCCTCTTCCAATATCTCTTATGCTATTTAGCAAGACTTACAGACATTTCATTGTCCTAAAAGAAAACACAATCAAATATGTCAATGTTGACACTGATCTCATGGAATATCTGTTACAACTTGAATGCTTAGATCCAGAAATACTTGTAACCAAATGTATAAATACGTAAAGAGCCAACAGCTTTAAGGAAAACTGAAATAATAAATAACAAGTCATCTTAGTCAAAACTGTTTGCCCCCACCAAATGAGTTGCTTACCCATTTTCCTGAAAACAGAGTTCATAATAATTGTTAATCCATTAATAGTTTAAAAGACATGCTTAACTTTGCTTAAGGAATAGTGATATGGATCAGCCAAGCCATATAAATTTACTTCACTTTCTATTTGCTTTACCTAGGCATTACATATTCTTAGAATCCTTATTGGTAAACACAGATGAAATGATATCATAAAACATGAAAATGGAAGCAGAAGAGAACCTAACATGCCTAAATATGTCAAGAATTCATTGCAATTTCAATGATCTAAAACTCTAAGTATCAGAAAGCAGAAAGAATTACCACACAACAGTAAAAGTCAAATATTTATACAGGTGCCTTAAAAGCCACTGTTGGGTGCACACCATCATCACTGACATTTACTATCTGTTAAGTAGTTTCAAAGTGCAATAACTGGCTTGGAGCGTGAAGTTTATGACAACAACTAATATGTCTGGAGAGACTGTGAAGGTGTGATGCTTGTCACAGCTTTCATCAGGCCAGCAAGAGGCAGCCAGGCTGTGGCAAGACGGAGCCTCAGCACAGGTGCCTTTTCTCATTTCAGGAGGGAAACCTAAACCGATACCTTCATGGATAATTTAATAAGGATTGTTCCATAAATTTATAATGTCATTTATGACTTTCTTATAATTGCTCTTTAGTAGCTTTCAAAAGCAATATTCTTTGGATAAAAGTAACTGGGGCAATAAAGTATGAAACCATTTCAGCTTCAAATTGAGAAATGAGGACTGTTTCATAGGAGAAGCACCTACCAAGGTTATAGAACCCTAAGGCCACATTCCATAAAAAGCTGGAAAGAAGTTTCAGAAATAATAAAAGTCCAAATGTTGGAATTGTCCCTAATAATATACATATTATTTAAACTTAAAATTAGGAATGCCTCCTTAATGAACAATTTACAAATGTACAATTAGGAATATTTTCTATTCTTCTTATAATAATTCTAACTATAAGAAATTTTCCTTGTAAGGGTAAAAAGAAAGATGGGATAGAGGAACATTTGTGAACATTCAGCTAAACTTCAGCTCCTGAGCTTCTTAGAGGATAATTTTGTCATGATTCTCTTCACCTCCGAAAGGAAATAAAGTTTGTGTTGAAAACTCCAAGAAATCATGCTAAGCTCAAGACAGAGTTCTTCAATAACCAAGGCTCAGTTTCAGTGTTCATTTCACCACTTCTTACTGCAAAACAGAATCTGCTTTTTCAAAGTCTGAAAGTCAGTTCAAGTTTTCAAGTGAAGGCTAACACTAGGCAGCAAAACGCCAAACAAACGTTTCTAAAATCTGAGGGGCAAAGCCAATTACACCCACCACCAGGGCCCAGAGAGGAAGGGGGCCAGGAACTCCCCTCCAAGCTCAGGACCTCCAGGCCCCGTGCAGAACTCCCAGGCAAGGCTGGGAATCAAGGACGACCAGAGAGATGCCACAGGTGGCCTGGACGGCTGCTTCCCCACCTTGCACTTAGGCCTCCTCCGGGGCCCAGAGCCCGTGCCCGACTCCCAGACCGAATGTGCCCTCCAGCCTCAATTTAGCCAATTTCAGGCGGTGGCGAGCTCGGAGCAGGGCTCAGGTGGCCCCTCTGGACCCGTTAACTGGACACAGAGTGCCAGCCCGAGGCGCCAATTCCACCGATTCCTCAAGGCCCGGAGTGTCTAAAGGTCCTCAGGGGCGTCGGGAAGTGGACGGCAAAGGGGCCCTGGAAGGGGCGGTTCCAAATGCCCCCTCCGAGGCGCCTGGCCGGCTGACGCAGCCGGGCTTGGGCAGTGCGTCCCGCGCCTCCTTCCCGGGGCCCATCCCGGTACCCCGGGACCAGCGACGCCCCACGCCCCCCGCGCTGCGGGCGCCGCCGCTCGGCCGGGTCTCCAGGACAACAGCCACCGCAGCGCTTCCGAGGCGGGTCCCCGCGCCCACCGCGGCCCGGCCACCCACCTGTCCCGGGGATCGATCCAGCTGGTCCTCCTGGTGTTGTGGTCGATGTAGAAGACCTTGCCGTCGTAGTCCCTGGCCTCCTCCCAGCCCCGGGGTAGCGGCAGCTGCCCGCTCCCGGCCCTCCTAGGCATGGTCGGCGGCCTCGCCGGCGGGCGGCGCCTCCATAAGGACCCGGCGCGGGACGCGGCGGGAACGCGACTGTCCGGCCCGGCCGCCGCACCCGACGCGGGCGCTGGCTGAGGGGCTGCCGGGCGCGGGACGCGGCGGGGCCACGCGCAGGGGGCGCCTCGGGAATCAGTCCAGGAATCCGCCGGGGATCAGTCCACCATGTCTGCGTCGGAGCAGGCGATCGAACCCTCCTCCTCCTCCTCTTCGCGGCCGCCGCCGCTGCCTCCGCCTCTTCCTCCTCCTCCTCCTCCTCCCCGTCCCCCTGTGGCCGCCGAGGGTCGCGGCGCCCGGGCTGCCAGAGCCGCCGCCGTCTGGGCTGGGATCGGGGAAGCTCGGCAGAGCGGCGGCCGCGGCGGCAACGGGCCTCCTCATTTGCATGCGATTAGCATGCGCCCCGCCCGGGCCCGCCCCCGCTGCTCCGCCCCTCGCCGGGCTCATCTGCATGCACATTCCTCGCCGCCACATTCCTGGGCTTAACCCTGCCGCTCCCGCGGCCGGCAGCACGGGCCGGGGCCACCGGCCAATCCCGGGCGGGGGAGGGGAGCCGAGGGGCCAGGTGGGAGGGAGAGGGCCGAGGAATGCACTGCTGGCTCCCTCCCCTCGACCCCAAATATCTCCCTGCGGCCAAACATCTCGTGTTTTTAGAGTTTTGGAACGCGAAAGATAGCTCGAGGGAAGTCTCCGCACCCTTCTCAACCTCTTTCCGACTTCTAGCGAAAGCACAGGACTTTCGAGAGGAAAGGGGTGGAGGAGCTTTCTGCGGAAGGAAAAGGCCCAGCAAACACCGAGGGCACAAAAGCTCCCCCACGCCGCTCCCGGAGCCTCATCGGACCCGAGGGCGGCTTCGGGCGGTGAGAAAGTGTGAAAAGCACCAAAAGCATGTCCGTGGCGCGACCTGGCGGCGTCGCCCCCGGGGCCTCTGCAGGGCGCCTGGCCCTCCGTGACCTCCGCCCAGAGGCCACGGGCCTCGCGGCGGAAAGCGAAGGCGGGTCCCTTGGTCCAAGAGCGCAGCGACACGCCTGCCCCAGTGGCCCGCGGGGGAAATTCCAGCCTGACCCTGAGAAGTGACTGGGCCCTAGCCCCCATCTCCCGTGGCCGTCGTAGCAACCCGAGCCTCCCCGCAGGGCCGGGGCGCTTCACCCGCGGGGGCTGGGCCATCCACCAAAGCCCCCTCTGCCGCTGGCCTCTGCTGCAAGGGGTTTAGGACAGTTGGACGTGGATGCATCCCGTATCCAGTCCCTTCCGTCCAGCCCCCGCCTCGGGAAGTTCCCCACCCCGAGTCCGCTGTGGCCAAGAAGGTGTGGGCGACACGCTGGAGGAAGTCCACGGCTGCCCGGAAGCCAGGCTTTCCTAGGCCCTGGATGAGGCTGTGATGGAACCTGGGTCTTTTCTCATTCCTCAAGCTTTTATTCAGCAGCTACTAAGTACCGATCCGCACTGAGGAGAAGCCGGACGTTGGGCTCCGGGGAGGACAGTGCCAGGAGCAGCAAGACTGGCAGGGCCTAGACACAGCATTCCCTGCCCTCAGCCCCACGGTCTGGGAGGGAGCCTCCTGGTCCCCAAATTCCTTTCCAGTCGGGTCTACACCCCGTCGCCTACTCCTATTCTTCCGGGTTACTAACTAGCTTCTTTTAAAGTAAAATACCCAAGGAAGGCGCCAGAGCTCAGTCATTCACCTCTTGGTGTGAATTTGCTTAATCCTGCTGGCCAACACGTAATGACTTCCCAGCTTGTGCAGGATACAGGGGTGGGCACGGGCTTTCAGAGGGTTTTTGGAACAAGGCCCTCCTGCCTCCTATATTCACAGACTCATCAGGGAGCCAAGCGAATTGAAATTCACTAAGGCGCAGCTTGGAACTGGCGCTGGATCCCAGGCCTGTCAGAGCAACTGTGGTCAACCTTAAAGGTGAAAAAGGGTGCTCCTGGAGAGTAAGGAAGGAGGGCCAAGCTTGGAGCACCTTGACAGCAAGAACTGAACCTGCCTTCCCCAGCAAGGGCCTGACAAAGGGCTGTATCTGCCCTTGAAGGTGTCTGAGCGAGCCTAAGAAACTTTAAACCACCAGAAACTCTGGAGAGCTGGGAGTACCTGAAAAAGAGCAACCAGAAGGAGCAAGAGGTGGGGAAGAGAGTTACCCAAGACCCATTCACTCACTTTATCTTTCTGGGCCTGCCTCTGTTACACCCAGGAAGCTAGACTTCACTCTTTGGAAAGAGAGGCCCCCTCCACCTGGGCGGTGTTCAGCCCAATCCATTCATCAAGATGTGATTGCACAAGGCAAGCTTCCCTAGTTCCTGGTGAGATTCCACATCCTGGTAGGTAATCTTAAGGTTGGACTTATGAATGCTGCGAAACAGATGGGAACTGTCTACAATTAATCTCTCACATAGTGACTGAATGCACTTTCTTTTGGGACTCTTCTAAATTGGCCCACTTGCATTGTCAAAATTTGCGTTAAGGTATACTAATATCACCATTCAGCAACCCCAGCAAGCAATTCTTGTTTATTCCTTGCTTTCCGCTCCCCCACCCCCAACAATTAGAAAACATGTATTATACTAAAATGTCTACTTCCTACTGTTTAAAACAACAACAACAAAGTAACACACTTTGTTGTTGCTACAATTTAATTTGTTTCACTGGGATGAATTACAGCACAATACTTCTTGGTGTAATTTCAAATTTGATCAGCTTTCAGATAAATATTTTCCCTCAACTTCTAAAACCAGCGAAGATTCTAAAATAGCACACAGCGGTAAATGGCGTTTATTGTTCCATAAATCTTGAGACTTCAAAAAGGATGCTAAATAGACAAACAAAAAGTCTAAAGCAATTAAGAGACAAGCTCACTTCTCTCCCTCTCGTTGGCACAGGAAACATTTGGTCACACAAAAGCAGTTAAGATGACAGAAAGGAAAGTCTGCTCTGCAGGCTTCTTTGTCTTGATCCAGTTTGAACTGTGTGGTTCTGAGGTTCACACAACTTACATTCATCCCTTTGGAGAATTCCTAATGGTTAAGACAATGAAATTTCATTTCATTTATATATGTGTGTGTGTGTGTGTCTCTCTCTCTCTGTGTGTGTGTGTGTGTGTGTGTGTGTGTGTGTAAAAATAAAACAATATAAAGATTATCCCTATTTGATAGTTGGATACATTTAGATTTGATTTGGGCTTCAGTTGATCATTGGCACAGAAAGATGATGCAGTCTGCTGTCCTGGATGTCACATTACCCCAGTCTAGGAAACTATACACTAGCCATTGAAAGTCTGTTTTCTAGCCTTCAATTACCTTTTCTTCTGGCTTTACATTTTCTTCTCTACTAATACTCTGTGGGAATGAACCTCCATTAAACAAATCTCCCCCTTTGTCAATATCCAAATTCTGGGTAGCAGGTAAAGTAGCAGTGTAAAAAAATGGAAGCAGTCAGTTAAAATTATTTCAAAAGATAACTTAGTTATATCTATCTAAATTTAAAATATACACATATACTTTTTTTTTAAGATTTTATTGGGGAATTGGGGAAGGGGAACAGGCAAGTTGCTGTCCTTGTGTTCTTCAGTCTAGTTGTGGAGGACGTTGCTTCACTGGCCCATGTTGGTATTATCATTGAGCTCTTCCCGGGTGAGGCAGTCGCTCGCAGGCCATTGGACTGCTGCTCAGGGCGGCTCACGCCAGCTCATGCCGGCTGGCAGCCACTCATGGTAGCTCACAGCAGCGCACTACAGCCCTACTGCAGCCTACGTCGCCAGCAATTCGCTGCAGCCCAGCTCCAAGTCGAGCTCTTGTTCACTATCTTAGCTGTAGAGGGCACAGCATTACTGGCCCATGTGGGATCCAAACCCGCGGCCCCGCTGCCCAGAGCTCATGCTCCCAAGCCAACTCTTAACTGATGAGCCAGTCGGCCGGCCCATCTACACATTTACTTTTAATCCAGCAATCCCAGGGCTACACATTTACCTATGGCTATTAAATTTCCTCAAGGTACACAAGGATGTTCGTTGTAGCATGTTTGATAATAACAAAACTGGAGAAACCACCAGTGTCCTTCAGTAAGAGACTGATTAAATGAATTATGGTACATCCATATTCAGCAGGCATTTAAAAAACATTAGATAAACATCTGTGTGCTTATAAGGAAAGAGATCCAGGATATAAGTTAAAAAAAACAAACAAACCAAGTGCTAAAAGACACTTGTTCGCTTCACTGGAGGTAGGGCTAGTCATACAATATAAAGATCAACACAGACTACTACATAATTCCTGGTGTCAAAGGAAGAATTTAGATAGCAAAATAAGGAAGTTATTATAGAGAATGGGGGCTGTCAGGGAGGCCCCGTCAAAGAAGTATACAGGAGGAAAATAATCATTAAAGAAAAGAGATGTGGTAGAGATGAGCACAGACATGATACCAAAACAGACAGGTGTGGCAAGGCGTGCTTGTAGAAAGAATTGGATATGCAGAGCTCAAAGATGAATCTGGCATGAAAGAGGCCAAGACTGGCTGGAGCCATCTAGTGAGGAGGCTGGCGTATGATAGTGTAGGTATGAAAAAGATAAAGGTCTGGATTAGAAATAAGGCAAGGGGGAGAGGGGATGAAAAGGAATGATCTGGCAAGAATGTGCTACTGATTAGATTAAGAAGGGAGAGGTGAATAGACCAGAAGGAGGAATCTGGCATGATTCCAAGATTTTAAGCAGTCAAGAGAGACTCAAATAGCTGAAATAAATGAGGAAGTCCAAAGGGGGATCTGATATGGGGTTTGCTTTTAGAAATTAGAGATACCCAGCAGAAAGTTAAAGGTCAGGACTCAAGCTCAAACAAAGGTCAGGACTGCAAATACGTGATTGGATGTCATCCATCTGAAAGTCCGTAGAGGGCTGAGGATTCAGGGCCAAATCTTGGAAAGGAAACATCAGTGCAGGACGAACAGAATTAAGTAACCCATCTATAATTCTATTTTTGGCCTATAGCTCTTCAGTAGTTTGATATAAATTAGTTTATTTCTTTGTAAAATGTGGTCTCCATTTTCAGTGTTGTGTGTAAGACACAAGTTACTTGTGTGTAAACCATCTCTGGAAGAATTATTGTGATAAAGTTGATGGTTCAGCTCAAGTGAATCAACTCATGTGAAGGACCAGACAAACTGGTTTTCAATATTTTAATACCCCTGTTTCCTCAAGGAAATCGGAGATTATATAAACTGGAGCTTCTCTATAGAGAGAATGTTTCTTTTTTCTGAGTCAAACCAGTTGACTTTTTTGTTTTTGTTTTTGCTCTCCTGCAACCAAACTGGTTAAAATAAATAACATCTCTAATTATGGTAAATAGGTAACTCTCATCCACAATTCCT